TAACCGTATCCATAGCGGATAAGAGTATGATAAATATCATATCCGAGTAGTATCCGAACCGAACGCACCCCTACCCTTGTAGTATTTCATTTTTGACCTTATTGCCATAGTTTGGCTTTAACTGATATACATCTTGAGTGATTTTTTTTTTTTTGGGTACTCTTTTACCATCAACTTCGATTTACCAAAAACATAAATTTCTCTTTCTCAGGGTGAAATAATTATTAAAAAAATCACGTAGGGGATCTATCTGTTAAAATCAAACTATATATACAGATAATAAGAAGGAAGTCTATGTATGTGCAATTAACCCTTTATTTTCTAATGTAAATTATTTATTATCCACTCTTTCACTTGAAATGTGTAGTAGCTATAGAAACTGCCTTTTTAAGTTGTGGGTCATATATTCGTGGAGGTTTTTTTTTTTGTATTTTTCTTGGTGTCTGTATTCACAACTTGTTTGGCTAGTGGGATAATGTTTACCTGCGACGAAAGGAATTATGGAGAGAGGAATTGGCTTATTATGAGAGAGAGAGAGAGAGAGAGAGAGAGAGAGAGAGAGAGAGGAATTGGCTTATTATGAGAGAGAGAGAGAGAGAGAGAGAGAGAGGAATTGGCTTCACGTGGATGAGAAGTGAGAACATGGGTACAAAAATAGAGATAATAATGATTAATGAGTAGTAAATAGTATTGCATGGTGCTGGGGTTTTGATCATAGAGGTCAAGCAACATTGGGACCTTTTGCTTTGTAATTTCTAGATATTTGAGCCTACTACTCATCAATTTGTATCATGTTTGTTCTGCTGTGGAAATAAACGTTATCATTACCAATAGGGTCAATTGCAAGCAAGATATGCCTCCATGTCTCGTACTCTTATCCGCTATGGATACGGTTACGGTTCATATAAATATCATATCCGAGCAGTATAACCTTACTAGACTATTTTTATTAGGTGTTACATTTTTCGAACTACCGACAAATATTGTTTTTCTATTAGATTGAGATGTCACGTGAGAATCATTTGAATAAATTGCTCCTCTCGTCTCCAGTTAAAAGAGCAACTATTAGTTTCTAATTAAATCGAGGATAAAAATGAAGTTTATTGTCAAGTAATTTTTACGTGACATCTCTAACTGAGAAATAACACCATCTTTGATTAACGAGATGTAATACAAATAAAATAGTTAGCGAATATATGTTAGTAGATATAGCTCTATCACAATGTGTCCTTTTTAAAGGATTGACTGTTGTCGTGATGCAAGAAATACCGTTGTTTGATTAATTTTTTATTTAATTGATTAGGTATCTGTTTTCAGTTTGTTTGTGGTGCATGTTACACGTATTAAGTAATTTATTATAGTTATATTCTTGTTTTTTTTTCCTTATTTGGTCAACCTGTGGCTGCCAATGAACGTGAGTCTAGAACTAGTTTATCGAAGTAAATGATAAAAAGTCAAGTGAGTTTACCTTTAGTTCATTTTTATTTCATTCCTTTTGGAGATTTGACTTTCTAATTACTGTGGGTGAGGATGTTTTCGAAATAACATATGATGAATATTTTAAAGCATAATCATAGATTCACGAATGAAATTGTCTCACGACCCTCAACCATCTCCGTGATTTAAAATAAACCAATAAAATAAAGCATCTAGCTAAGTTATACAGTACAAAAATCACTTGACACTAGTTTTTATATATCTTAAAGTTAATCCCTCTAATTAGTTTATATTGTTTTATATATCTTAAAGTTAGTTTTTCTAACCATTAGACCAAAACTCCAAAATTAAGATAATAGGCAAAGATTATAGTTTTATATTACTTATAACAATATACTTCCAAAAGCGAAATAAAATAATAAGAGCAGACAGTACAGTAGAATTATATGTAATGCAGTTCAGTGGGCCTGATATCACAGATGGAAAACCTTACAAATGTCATAGAAAAACATATATTTTCCCCCAACAACCAACACATATAACAAAATTATGAAGAAAATATTATTAATTAGATACATGGCTTCGATGTCGGACAGATAAATGTGCTTTTTTGTTGATTGAATCTGACAGAATCACAAGGAGCTTGAATCTGACTGAAGATGTGGGGCAAATACTTTGAAGACCTCTTCATATATTGGCTTCTTGAAATGCACAATCTGCTCAAATATTCAGCCAAAAGAGAAAAAAAAAGGAAAGGAAAGGTATCAGAGACTACAAAAATTAAATCCTCACCTGTTTTCTTCATTTGAGAACTATGTAAAAAGAGAAAAAAATCACTCACAAGCTCAAGCAATTGTTGTGGGGTCATCCATGACCACTCTCCAAACTCTGGCTTTTCACTTCCATCACCAGCAAGGTTAATCTCTTCATCCTTTCCAGTAAATCTCAAGAGAAACCTGCACAAATGGTAAAAGAAATTCATCTGACCGATATGTTAATTACTACAAACCAGCCACGATTTGTTGATTATTACTCTAACATGTTTCAGTATATACAATTCTGTAACAGGAAAAGGTCTAAGCAGGATGCAAATATTCCCAGGTCCAATATCACCCTATGTGGCCCGATTTCGTCAGAGTAGTTCCCTCCAGTTCCCTTCGACCCTATTTGGTTATAAACATTATACAACCACTGACAACTATGGCTTTTCGTTGAAGATTTCGTAATATGTTTGAATATAACTACGTGACAGGTAATGGTACATAAAAAATGCAAATACTCCAAAAACAAAAGCAGTTCAATAGGTCCCATTTCATTAGGACTTGGCCCATAAGCTTCTCTCTCCCTCTCTCTCTACGTAGAATGCATTTTGATCTTCAATTATAAGGAAAGTGCTCATAATTAAGAAACATGTTAATATCTGCATTGACCTCTCTGGCCAAACATGGCAATGAGCCTCCAGATATTTGGTGCCGGTTTCATATATAGTATAACATTAATTATAAGCAAGCTGAAAGCAAAAGAACTAGGTTGTACAAAGTTAACAGGAGTACACTATGGAGTCAATGATCCAAATCTAAGCTATCTTCTAAACTTCAATGCCCATTGTTTAATCCCCTGTCAATATACTAACAAGTCCCTCTCGTCAACAACCTAGAAGAAAATGACCGTATAAGAGTAATACTATAATAGAAACACCAAAAAGGAACTCATGTTCAACAACGTAGGTGAGACTAGCTGAATGTGTTAAAGCAATGCAGATGCCAAAAAGAGTAAAACTTGTACAAGCTCATTCTTCTCAATAATTATTGCTCACTCAAAATCATACCAGGAGTCATCGTTAAAAATGTGAAACTATATTCCTGCATCCATCAATCCTCAAAAGTGCGAACTATAATCTACACAAAAATTGTGAATGCAACTCTATTCAGTGATAAAAAGGTGGCATAGGCAAGACTCAAGAGCCTTAAGCACAGGTTTTTTCTATACCGGTGGAGTTACAGAGCTGCACGGTTAGCCTATGTCTAAAACTAATATACACACAAGATATTTCTATACCTCTGGAGTTTTAAATGCTTCAGCATTTTAGAGACCTATTTGGATTAACTTGAAACATTGCCTTCAATGCATACAAAACAAAAATTTCTGTTCCCAAATATAAAAAGGAATTACTTCTGTATTGTTTTCACTCTGTTCTTAGCCAATATCTTCCTCCTAAATGGCTATTAAAAAAAGGAATTACTTCTGTATTGTTTTCACTCTGTTCTTAGCCAATATCTTCCTCCTAAATGGCTATTAAACTGTCTAGATGGAAATAGAAGCATGATCAATATCTTCCTCCTAAATGGCTATTAAACTGTCTAGATGGAAATAGAAGCATGATTATAAACTAATCAGAATTGAGTTTAACTGAAATGCAACTAAGCCTTTTCCAGCTCAGTAGGAAGATATCCAACCTCTGGCTAAATATAATGCCATGCATAAGTTCTCTACAAATGTTAAAAATAGTGAATGTCTCACTATATTAGGAGTCCTTGGAGTATTACTGAACATCTCTCATTTCATTGGAGAGGAACCTTTTGTTTTTTGGTTCAAACTTGAGCTTGGATTGTATTCAACTATACACAAGTAGATAATCTTTTTTTTATTAGAAATTAGATGGTAACATATTCTTCTTATAAATGACAAATAAGTTGACTAGTTGAAACGATAACTTCTTCAGCTCTCCAGATAGAGACGCTTACAAACAAAAATCAAAGCATACAATTACCCAAACCAGGAGATGAAAAAAAAAGAAAAAAGAACAGGAACAGCATGGTAGTAAATAAGCTGCTAAAATCAATTTATTAGGTATTAAAGGGCCTTCCTTAATGTTCAGTCTATATTCAATAAAGTATTTGATATCCAATTATGGCCATTGAGGTTGAAGTAACAAGCTTACCACTTCTGTGCTTGACCATTCCAGTTTGTTCCCCATTCTTTGTTTAATCTTTCTTTCAGTTCAGGAGGGAAATCATATGTTAGCCAGTAAGGAGCCTGCATCGATACTTATATGAATTCATTTTCCATCAATTTCATTGCATAGGGTAAAAGCAAAAGGCATAGGAACTTACATTCTTTGAATCAGTATATGAGCTTTAATCCTTTGAATCAGTATATGAATTCATTTTCCATCAATTTCATTGCATACGGTAAAAGCAAAAGGCATATATTATATAATGGCTGACAAGAATGCACAGAACATACAAAAAAGACAAGAAAGATGTTCCCCAATGCAGCTAGCAAAAGGTAAAACAATCCACTTCTTTATTTTTATTTTTTTTGCGTTTTTCCGATATTGGTCCCCCCAAATCTTCAACATTTTGAAATTAGTCCTCCAAATCTTCATATTTTGAAATTAGTCCGCCAAATCCTTTAACTGCTTTGAAATTAGACCGCAAATCCTTTAAATGTTTTGAAATTAGTGCCTCCTGTTAGCACCAGGTTGAAAGATTTGGGGACTAATTTCAAAACACTTAAACACATTGGAGACTAATTTCAAAATGCTTAATGATTTAAGGGAATAATATCAAAATATGAAGATTTTGGGGACTAATTTCAAAATATGAAAGATTTGGGGGGACTAATATCGAAAAGTTTTTGTCAATGATAGAATTGCACAAAGAACAGCTTAAACATCAAACATCTTTCCAAACAGTAGTGTACCTGTTTTATATTCTATAACAACTATCTTCCTGGATAATATTAAATTGAAAAATTCCGTCTATAAATGGTATTTTTTTTTCTTTTTTCCTCATTCTCTTTTTCAATTTTTTCCCTCAATGAGCAGATGTGTATGCTGACGATGGTGATTGTTTCCTTTCTCTTTCCTTCTTTTCTTTTCTTTTCACTCTTTGTGAGGGAGGCGGTGGGTGTTTCAGGGGTGAACTTATTTATTTACTTTAATGCTCTTCATGAAGTCTGCTTGCTTAGATCATGACTTTGAAAATTCTTGTTTCCCTTACCACCTTCGCCTCCAATACTTCGCTAAAAAGAGGAAATTCTTTAAAGCAAAATTTGGTTAAATTTTTTCCAGAAAATGTAAAATCTCAGTCATCTATTTAAAACAACTTTTTCTCGTATAGTACCTTTTCACCATCAATAATACCTTTTCTGAACCATAGAAAGGCGGATCCACCCACCACAAAGTGGGTCAAGGGACCTTGACCCCACTTTGTCGTGGACAGACTAGGACACCAACCTTAATAAAAGAAAAGAAAAGTCATCCAATTGAAAATCCAATCACACAAATATACTTGGTGATCCCACTTAAAAATTTGGCAACCCCACTACTATGTCAATCTCACAACTATGAGAAAGTATGAAATGATCCCCAATCCATGACATTTAATACGCACCAAAAAGATGACAACCCTTGGATCATTGGACATCAGCATTCATGCACGGATCCAAGAGTTGACACCCATTTAGTGCACATTGAATGTCATGGACTAGGTCCACTGAATACTTTCTCCATGACCACACTCGAACCCATCCACTAAAATAAAAAGTAAAAACTTCCCTCTGATGATCATATCTGCTCTCGGGATCCTTTTGATCTTTGCTGCAATCTACAAGCCCTAGGCGACTCATCGCCTCCTCCAGCCTCTACTTCCTCCTCGTCTCTTCCTCCGCCCTAGGTTAGTTCCTCCTCCTATGCCTTAGTTGCCACTCCCTCGATTTCACTATCCCCTCTGAGAAAGCGACTCATATTGTTGATGTGCATAGAGATGCTAGATTTTCTAATTTGAAGGGGATAGATGATCTTTCAAAGAAGATGGTGGAGACTAAAAAGCAGAAGATATATCACGTGGTGTTTTTGCTTTTTAAGATTGCATTGATTTACCATGGCTAAGGCAAGTGTAGAATAAGCTTTTTCTACAATGAAATTGATAAAGAACAAGTTGCAGAATAAAATGAGCGATGATCAGCTTAATAACCGTTAAGTGCTTTATATTGAAAAAGATGTATTTGATAGTGTTACTAATGATGCGATTATGTATTTTTCTTCCAAGACATGAAAACTTGTTGAGAACAATTGTAAATTTTGAATTATTAATTATATAGTGACACCATTTTCCAAAAATCCTGGATCCATCCGCCACTGGAACCGTAGATGATGTTTCTCATCAAATCCACGCCCTACATGTATCATCTTAAAGATCAAATGTCTTTTAGACGTACATCTGCAAAGATTCTCTGAATAAATATCATCTACGCATGCATTTGAAGCTTGTGGCCACGTTGACACCAGTCAGGCATATAAAAAAAATCCTAAAACATTTCGATTACTCCATTCAAATGAAATAAACAGAACAATGCTGATGAAGTTTTGAGACTTAAGGACAGATTTCTAAGCATAAATATGTGAGAGAGTAACTCCCTAGCTTTATCTCCTATGTAAAGCAATGCACATTGCAGCAACATCATGTAAATAAACCGAGATAAGTATCCAATTTAAGTTATAAAGGGGAAAAAAAATTGCACAAGCAACAAATGATTCTCTACTGTAGAAACCTGTCGTAATATTCATGGCAACAAGTGGGGACATACTGATTACTATAACCACACGAAGCTTATTCCCGCTAATGAAATCAGTAGTTGTTTTAACAAGTTAACAATCGAATTGCAAACATCCGGCCTCATCTACACTTTCAGGAGCACTTATCACCCCTCAACTCATTTATTAGCACAGTAAAACCCAACCACCCTTCGATTCATAAGGAGGGGGGCATATCCGCATTTACTTTTCTCAAGCTGCGAATCCGGAAGCGAGGAGTGCTACTAAAATAGTTGAAAGATGATAAATGCGCTACTGAAGGTAAAGATAAGGGGTTTATCTGCAATTTCCTCTATATTCCCCGCAGACATCATCAGCATCAGGATCCTAAATCAATCAAATAACCATACCATGGCAACTAAAAGCAATGCCTTGTCCATTTGTTACAATTTACATGCAAAAAATTAAAAAAATAAATAAAAATCAAACCTCAGCAACAACCTCCGCCGATGTGACTCCAGCCTCCTCCTTCAATTCTCTAATCGCAGCGGCTCTCAAATCCTCTCCTTCATCTACACCACCCTATCAACAACAACAACAACAACAACAACAAACACAGACCCACGAACAAAAAATTACAATCCTCAACTCAATTCTCTTAAAAAAGTTTCACAAATCGGCGATCACCTGAGGCATCTGCCATGATCCTGGCATATCAAGCCTCGACGCTGCAAAGACCTAGAAAGAACGCCACGAAGTTCAAATTAAGATCCGAGAAGGGGGGAAAAAAAGAGGAAAAGGAAAAGAAACCCTAGATCTGAGTAAAACCCTAATTTGACCTTGTTAGAGGAGTTGACGAGGCAGATTCCGACGTTCTTTCTGTAGCCAGCGGGAGGAGCCTCCATTGATGAGAGGGAAGATTTCGGGGAGCTCGAGCCGAGTAGTGGTAGATCGGTAAATTTGAACAAGGTTGTGAGGGTAGAAATGGAAGGGGGCTGGTATTTATTCAGATCGACGTGGGAGTTTTGGCTGATAATGCCCATGTTCTCACATAGGTACCCCAAAGTTTTTTTTTTTCATTTTCATTTTGACTAGCACTGTAGTACACTTGATGCCTCGTTTCCTAAAATAATGGAAATGGATTCCAAGATAAATAACCATTTCTAAAAAAATTTATGGATCTCAAAGAAATATGTAACTTGTGTTTGGTATGAAATGATGAAGTGAAGAATAGGAAAGTATATCCAAAACTCATGTTTATTTCATTGCCAAATAATTTAGGTACCGTTTGGTAAAGGGTTAAGTGAGGGGTTAAGGAGACTTAACCCCTTCTTAACCTGCCAAACACAAGGTACCGTTTGGTAAAGGGTTAAGTGAGGGGTTAAGGAGACTTAACCCCTTCTTAACCTGCCAAACACAACAAATCTATATAAAAGGGTTAAGTGAGGGGTTAAGGAGACTTAACCCCTTCTTAACCTGCCAAACACAACAAATCTATATAATGATTAAAGTGAGTTAACCCTCCATAATTTGCCAAACATAAAAAATATAGAAGGGTTAAGTTAACCCATCTATAGGGGTTAAAATGAGTTAACCCCTCAAAATGAGGGGTTTACTAATACTCCTATTTAGATGGAATAAGAGTTAACCCTTCTAATTATAAAGAAAATAGTCAAAATCATTGTTATTCCCAAACACTAAAACTGATAATAAGGGCTAAAATAAAACTTATTTAACGGGTTAATAATTTAGTCCTTCGGATTATCAAATGGGCTAAGTACATTAATCATTCTCTTTAACCCCTCTTCATTAACCCTTTGCCAAACGAGGCCTTAGGGAGTTATGAGAGTAAATGATGAGTTGTCAATGAGTTGTTAGATTTCTAGCCCATTTCCGAGCTTAAAAAGAGGATTTGGGCTTTCCATAAAGTAGGCCGACATGTTAGCTTTTAAGAAATGTATTCTTAAAAAAAGTTGAACCAAATAGCAGTTTTGAAATCCTATAATGTCAAAAAACCTACTTTTTGTTCCAAAACTGCAGGATTCCTAAAAATTTGGCCAAGCCAAACAGCGCCAAAGTGTTAGGACATTTAGATTTGATTTCTTTATATATAAGGGCATCTTAGCAATTCTAAAAATATGGCTCGGCGAAGGCTAAAAGTAGAGCTTTTTTTTTAATATATAGTATTGATACGCCAAAGTACTTTTTAAGAGTTTGACATCTTCAAAGTTTCAATTCCATTTCCCTTTAGTAATATGCTCATATTTTGTTAGATATTTTTGTTAAATTTGCATTATATTTAGGCCTATCTTACCCAGTTATTAAGAATTCAAGTAGGCATTGGCAATGGAAGGAGGTACAACGTGCCAGCCACGTGACATAATTTAGCATAGATAAGTGTATCAAAAAATTGCTTTCGTACATCAAAGTGAAAATTTTGGGGGCGGCAAAGTGAAACCGAAGCGATTTTCGATGATAAAATTTTGCATGATTAAATTTCCATGCTATGTGATATTCTATAATATCATGTTTTCCTTTCATGCTTTGAATTTATTTCTGTTTAGCTACCTGCACAAAGCTTGGGGCAATTTTTTTTTTTAAATGAAAGTGTTAAAAAAAAGAATTTTACTTTTAAATGAAAGTGACCACGAAAGTGTAAATTAAATTGAAGTGGTTTTAGATAGATCGAGTGTTTTTTTTTTTTAAAGATGAGACTAGTATTTGAAATTGAGAGAATGAGCTAGGCAGCTAGTAGTTTATCGTAAACTTAACGTCCAGTCCCTAAAAAGATTCAGATTTAAATCTGGGGACTACTGAGCATATAATCATCAAAGGGAGGGCTATTAGATAATTTAACCTTCTCCTTCAACTTTCGAAAACTCAACTCCCACGCAAGCCGCACTCACACGGTTGATTTCTTGAATCCTTTTGATGACCCCAGGAATGAGGAGATCGATGGAACGCCGGTAATTGTGGTGAGGGATTTATGCAAACAGTTTGATCTCATGCGTCGGGTTTTGGCTCTTGCTCTGATTTTATTTCAATATTTGATTTTCTTTTCCCCAAATTAAAATTTGCGTGAATGCTTAAAATATCTTCAGCATTTTAGCAGGTTAATTTTGATTTGAACTGTTATCTGACATAAAAGGCACTGATATAAGATGCTTTCAAGTTCACAACGTCAGAATATGAAAAACATAACCCTTACCATAACTTCAAAATCTTGATGTAATGGTCAGAGACTTTGACATGGTATCAGAGCAACCCAGGTTCGAATCCCATTGGTCATAACGGAAACATTGGTCATATTGGGTGATGATGAAGTGCTACACATGACTTGGATTCAAGACGACAACTGCCTAAAAGTACTCCGTTACCGCAATTAGATTTCAAGGCATTTGAATGCATCTGAATCAATAAAAAGACTCTGAACAAGTTTGGATTGATGCAATCAGACTTGTAGTGCATGTATATTAAATTGATCAGAAAGTCTAACATAGTCAGAACGCATTGTGGTATTGATCAAGTTGACAAGAGAAAAAAAAACAATCCTAAAAATAAAAAAAATCAAGTACAATTCCGAAGAACTGGAGCAAAAGCTTGGCCTTAAAAGTTTTCAAAGTGCAAAGTTTTTCATATGACTTCAGGTGTGTGCTGATATTTGTTTATTCATTTGACAGTAAAGCAGTAAACCTAAATTGATCTCTATGTATCGACTTTCAACTTTCTCTCTTTCAAGGTGAAAGTTAATATCTACATTTTTTTATTCTGGCTTGACAGCTTTCAGCTATAATCTCGCAGTTTTCAGCTAGTTTTGTCAAACAGAGCCTTAGGCACTGTTTGGCAACAAAAAAAAGTGTCTTTTCTAAGAGCTTGTGTCTTATTGACTTGGTCAATAAGCTAGTAGAGCTGTTTGGTGACCAAAAATAGGAGGAGATTATTTTAAAGATTGTGTCTTTTGCAAGTAGCTTTTGGAAAGCTATCTCAAGTAGCGTTTGTCTTTGGGAAGGAGCTGTCAATTTTTTTCTTCCGTTTTTGCCCCTAATAATTTTAATTTTATATTAATAATATTGCATGACCTTTCTAGTCATTTAACAAATTTAAGCTAGTTGTACAGCTTCTTTTGTCAAACGGCTCTAGTCAATCAGCTAGCTACATAGCTATCAGCTTTCAGCTATAATTTCACAGCTTTCAGCTATAATCTCGCAGCTATAATCTCGCAGCTTTCAGCTATAATTCTCATTAATCAGTGACCTACAGAAATCTAATGTATTTGCAGTGATTTTAACTTCTCAGTTGATACTCTCAGAAGCTAGATATAGGAGTTCCATCATCATGGTTTGAACTGTCCACCTCATTTTGCTTTAGTTTTCACTTTTCTTACTATTATCTATGGTTTTTTAATCTAATTAATGTTAAAATTCAAACTCAACACTTAGTCGCATGCTTAGCGTCTAATTTTGTGACTTAACTGCCTAAGTAATATAATAAACCTTCTCTTATTCCATCAAAGCGTGGTTAATGACTACAAAACCTCCAAAAAAGGACGAGGATCTTGGGTCAATGACAATGAATGCGCGCGTCGATCACTTGGTGATTAATGTAAGGGCCACCACAGCCAATAAGAGAAGAAAGTCCACGGATTGATAATCTATTTTAGTAGTTTTTTATTAATTTAAGATGATAATACTTTTCAATTCTAAGAAATTTTCTATTTTTAATATATATATATCAATTTCATAGGGGATATGATCAACTATTATCTTCTTCACTATAAATAATGTTGGCTCTAGTATATGATATGTTAATTAAAAAAGCGAATTAGATTAAATGTTAATAAATAACACATGCATCATATTGAGGGAGATACATGATTTCAAAAACCAAGCTTACACATTGACATTTGATAATTTATATTTATTTTACTAATTTTTTTTCTCTCTATAAATTCAACATTCTTCGCTTGTGCATACCCAAAAACCTCCCACGATGTCCAAGCCCAAAGAACCCCTCCTCTTCGACGCGCCTTACTCCTCCTCCCCGCCGCCGGAAAATCCTCCGGTTCGTCGTCGTCGTCCCCGCCGCGGCCCTCCTAGCCTTCGCCCTCGGCCTCCACGCCGGCTTCGCCCTCCACCCCAAAAACCTCCACGTGTTCGTCTCCCAAGCCGAGCTCAAACGCTTCAGCCTCGTCGGCAACAGGACAGTCCACTCCAAACTCGACGCTGCGATCGTCTTCAGAAACCCTAACAAGTGGGCCCGCGTGCGCTACAAGCCGGTCCACGCGACGGGTTTCTACGAGAAAAGCACGTTCGGCTCGGTTAGGCTCGGTAAATCCAAGCAAGCCCGCGACAGCATCAAAACCTTTGACGTGGAGCTCGAAGGGGAATCGGCTATGCCGGTGAACTGGAGGGTGGGCGAGTTTTACGAGGCGAAGGAGAAGGGTTTCGCTGACGTGGAGGTTAGGGTTTACAGTAGGATCAGGTATAAGATCGGGTGGTTGAAGACCAGGAAGAGGTCTTTGGTGGCTATTTGTGGTCTTAATGGGGTTGCTTTGGCTAGTAATGAGAGTTTTGGTGGTGGAGGAGGTGGATTTAGAGGGACTAGGTGTGATGTTTATTGATTGATTGTGATGATTAATTATATGCTTAATTGTTGTGTGATGTTGTTGTGCTTCTATTTTGTACTCTATTAGGAGTAAATACGGTACGTTGGGTGTATGCGTCTATGGTTGTGATTTGTGGTTGTAATGGTACGTTCTACGTAATAGTGAAGGAGATCAAAATAATTTTTTTTTTGGTCAAGGAACAAAACTTTTCATTTAACCAATTGAGAATCATAAGCTCAAATTAAGTTGACTCCACCGAAACTGCAGCCATTGCATTATATCATTTTATATCATTCCATATGACCGTAGTGTCGGGTTCTGATACCACTTGTTGTGTGCGGTGGCCAAACGTAGGGGTGACGAGAACAAACACAAACGCCGAGAGAGAAAGACACGCACGGTCAAAATAACAGCACGAACACAAACAAACGAATTTTACGTGGTTCGGCAAGTTGCCTACGTCCACGGAGCAAGAAGGGGATGAGTTTTCACTAATAGAGAAGAAGAGTACAAACTGAAATTACAAAATCACTCAAACTCACTAATTAATCTCACAAACAAAGCTCTCAATCTCTCAAACAAAACCCTAACCAATAGCTCAGAAAAACTTTCTTTTCTATGCTCAAAACAAACCCTTGACTGCTCCAAAGAAACCCTAAAACGTGGTTACTATTTATATCAAACAACAATCCCAAACAGAACAGGAAACCGCAATCAGGCTCAAACCCGACTGGCGGTCGACCGTCGAAATCGTCGCGGTCGACCGGACAAAACGGCAGAAACAAAAAAAATGTATTACAGGGTCCGCGGTCGACCGCACTTGACGTCGTGATTGACCAGCCAGAAAACCAAAAAAACACCATGTAGTGTGCACGTTTCCGGTCGACGACCGACCCATAGCTCGCGGTCACCGGCAAGCATCAAAAGCTCTGCCTGCTCCAAAAATTCTGTTCTTCTCCAATGTTTTCGCCGTTTCTACACGCAGAGAATTGGCATTCTGGTAACGCCTTGCAGAGAACACAATTACTAGATGTAGCAATACTCATTCTGCATAAGTCCAAGTCCAAACCCAAACCCAAACCCAAACGTTGCCTATAGTAAAGGCTTATGATTAGTTGCTTACGGTTACTTACAGAAGCAACTTATATAAACCGCAGAAAATAGTTGTTTGATAATAACAATCAAGCTGCTTTCAAGAGCAATAAGGTGTTCGATAAAACTGTGGTTAAAGATCATTATGAGTAAAAATGACCAAAAAAGACAATAACCCTGGCTGGCTATGAAAATAGACGGTATAACTTAAGGATGGATAAGATAATAATGCTAAAGCATTATCAAACTCATATCGCCCTCTTAAAAGTTAAAACTGTTTTTTAAAAAGCATTATCAAATTGCTTACTTATAGCGTTCGATGAACACTATACTTTTCATTGCTTCTTCAAAAAAAATTTAAGCGGAAGTAACCTACAAAAATAATACCAAACTGGTCCTTAAGGGGGTGTTTGGTTACATTTCTATAAATTATAGGAAATGTTTTCTATCCAAAATTTGATTTCCTTGTATTTCTTAAAAAAAATTATAGGAAAAGTTTTGAGAAGTTAAAAAGTACAAATTTTCCTATTTTTTGTATTGTGCTTGTTTGGTTTAAAACAAGAAAATGACTCATAACTTTTGGGAAAATTGCAACATTTCCTATAATTTATAGAAATGTAACCAAACACCACCAACTTTATAGAAAAGTGTGAACTTTATAGAAAAGTGTTAATGAGTTTTATTATTTAAATAATGAATGCATCAGATTTCCAAGAGATTTCCGCCCATTTTAGAAGGAAATCAATTTCTATAAATTTTGGTACTTTTCTATACTTTACAGAAAACATTTCTGTAAATCTTTTTTGAGCCAAACACAGTTTGTGGAAATCTATAGAAAACTCTTAATTACAGAAATGCCATTGTTTGTACTTTTTGAGAAAACATTTCTCAAAAACAATGCAACCAAACACCCCCTAAGGTTAACATTTTGGGAATAAAGAAGTGCAATAACTCTTCCTCCATCCACCTGAAGGTTAGTAATTAAGTATTAATAAATTATAAGCTGAGAAGTTCGTAATGGCTGTTCCTTGTTGATACCCATCCTTATTCTTAAAAAATAATAAAAATAATAATAAATAAAGAAGCTGGGAAGAAAAAAAAATTATTGAAAGTATAAACCAAGTGGATTATCTAAGCTAAAGGGTAAATTTCACATAACTTCCTAAACTTTGGGGTTTCTTACAACCCCCACATGAACTTCAACATTTTCTCTCACGAACCTCCCTATTTATAATTTGAGAATAACTGAAATTATTCTTGAGAAAAAAAATCTCAAATTTAATCATTTGTCATTTAAGCAGAATGTATCCTCCCCTCTAAATTTTTTGATACC